CATATCCAGGTCAGGCACATTGGCACATGCCAGTAACCCCAAGGTGGACAGATCACTTGAGCCCAGGATTTCAAGACCAGCCTGGGCAACAGGGCAAAACCCCATCTCAATAAAAAATAAAAAGATCTACACATGCCTTTGATAATGCCACTCACTCCACTTCTCCCCACTCAGATATTTTACAGCTAAAAAATGAGAGTGAAAAATGAGCGTGAATATGTCCTTGTTTACAAGCTGCTCCTTATAACAGGCAGCTCCCAATGGAGTCAGGATTATTGGTTCTCCCCTAACAGGCTAAAAAGGTTATCAACAAAAAACGGTCCACTGGATAATGAAAGTTTCAAAGAACACTAATAACCATTTGAGTACAATTCATATAGACCTAAAAATGATTACAGTGTGTTATTTAAGCTGTTTAATCTCAATAATTCCAGGTTTAGGAAAGGCAGATAACACTTCTAGAAAATGTCCCCTGTTAATATGAAACTGAAAACAAAAATTCCTTCCAGTTATCAGCAAGGCATATGAAAGGCGACAACTGTGCCACGCCTCAGTATGTTCTCGAAGAATAGTGAATCACAGGGTGGTGGAAGGGAGGATTTCAAATAGTGCACTAAATGAATGAACTGAACTGGAAAGCAAACAAAACAAGCATCCTTCATGTTAACATTTGTAAAAAGAATATTTTCCAAATCTTTTCCAAAGGTCTAACATCTTTATTTCTCCCCAAAATAACTGTAAAATTATATAACATCGTAGTAATATTTACTCATTGTATCATTTGGATTGCTACTAAAAGTGCTTTAAGATTAATTTTTTTTGGCCGGGCGCGGTGGCTCAAGCCTGTAATCCCAGCACTTTGGGAGGCCGAGGCGGGTGGATCACGAGGTCAGGAGATCGCGACCATCCTGGCCAACATGGTGAAAGCCCGTCTCTACTAAAAATACAAAAAATTAGCTGGGCATGGTGGTGCGTGCCTGTAGTCCCAGCTGTTCAGGAGGCTGAGGCAGGAGAATTGCTTGAACCCAGGAGGCGGAGGTTGCGGTGAGCCGAGATCGCGCCATTGCACTCCAGCCTGGGTAACATGAGTGAAACTCCGTCTCAAAAAAAAAAAAAAAAATGAATTCCCTACCACACAGGCATAAAGGAGTATGACGAAACCATTTATGAGCTAAAAATGGAAACTTCTCTAAGATACAATAAGTGAAAAAGCAAACCACAGAACATAGATGTGTACAATCTATTACATAAAAATAGAAGAAAAGAAATATATGTATTTGTTTGGAAGTACACAAAATATCTCTGGAAGGACACTTTAGAAATCAGTGACACTGGGCTGGAGGCTGGGGCTTATGCCTGCAATCCTAGCTAGCATTTTGGGAGACTGAGGGAGGATCACTTGAAGCCAGGAGTTTAAGACCAGACTGGGCAACAGGCTTTCTTTTTTTTTTTAAGACAGAGTCTCGCTCTATCACCAGGCTGGAGTGCAGTGACGCAATCCCGGTTCACTGCAACTTCCGTTTTCCAGTTTCAAGCAATTCTCCTGCCTCAGTCTCCGGAGTAGCTGGGACTACAGGCACTCACCACCACGCCTGGCTAATTTTTTGTATTTTTAGTAGAGACAGGGTTTCACCATGTTGGCCAGGATAGTCTCTATCTCTTGAGCTCGTGATCTGCCCTCTTCGGCCTCCCAAAGTGTTGGGATTACAGGCGTGAGCCACAGGCCCAGGCTTTCTTTTTTCAAAAGAAAAAAAATTAAATCAATAACACTGGTTGTTTCTGGGAAGAACTGGGTGTTGGGGAACAGGGGTAGGAGAGAAGATTTTTACTGTATATTCTTTGAATCATCTGAATTTTGACCTAGGTGTTTCTATTTAGAAAACAAATATTTTTTTAAAAAACAAATTTCTAAGAGTAGAGATGTCCTCAACTGAGGCATAGAAATACTGAGTAAAAACCCCAAACCAAGGCAAAAATACTGAACCTGTAACCATCTGAAATAAATGAATCAATCCAATGAAAAGCATACATTTATTAAGCAACTAAAATGTGTTGAGCACAGTGGCTCATGCTATAATCCCAACACTTCAGGATGCCAAGGTGGGCAGATCGCTTGAGCCTAGGAGTTCAAGCCTGCACAATATGGCAAAACCGCATGTCTACAAAAAATACAAAAAAATTTGCCAGGCATGGTGGCGCACGCCTGTAGTCCCAGCTACTTGGGAGGCTGAGGTGGGAGGCTCACCTGGGCCTGGGAGGTCAAAGCTGCCGTGAGCCAAGGTTGCACCACTGCACTCCAGCCTAGGTGACAGAGTAAGACCCTGTCTTCAACTAAAATGTTCAACATACTACTCGAGGACCTATCAAAGATTCAAAAATAAATAAAACCCAGACCACATCTTACCATCAGCTCATTATCTCAATACAAAGCTTAATCACCAAGAAAGACATTCAATTAAATTAAACTTAACTAGCCAATACCTATGAGTACAAGAGAAGTCCAACAATATCACAAAGTCTTAACCAATATTAACAGAAGTATTGCTGCGGGTCACAAGCAACAGAAAATTCCTAGGAACTTTACTAAATTGAAAGAAATGTATTTACATCTCCCTCTTACTTCCTATACTCACCAGCAATTTTGAGGTGCGCATTGAAATGTTTATGTGTCAGCAGAGGCTCCGGCAACTCTCCTAGAAACATCTTCAGCAAAGTGGCAACATCATTTGAATGAAACTCCCCTGATTCCAAGTCAATGTCAGTTCCATTATTGAGAGCATCCCTTAAAATCTGCTGTCGGACACTATTACCTGGTACTCTAAACAAACCCTCTACTCGCAAGTCTGTTTAGTATAAAAGAAAGCAGAGGACAGGCAAAAAGGAAGCAGAAAGATTATGATTAAAATACATAATCTAAAGACTACTTTACACTTAAAAGAACCTTTACAAAGCCTTTCAAGTAAGTTTTTGCCTTTTTTCACCAGGGTAGTTTAGAACCTACTGACCTCCTGAGGAGACATATCTGAACGGCCCTGAGCATTTGGAGATCTTCCAAACTAAAAGGTAGTCCCCCCAGGAGTCATTCAACAACCTGAGGTATGTATAGACATTCTGAATTTAACCCAATCAAGTCAGAATTAGATTGAAAAATAAACTGAAAAAAGCCAAATCTCCCTGAAGACCTCTTCTCCTTGTTTATCACAGACTTGGTTTGGAGGGGCTACATACATGTGTGGATGTCTGTGGCTCTCGTAAACTGTTTTCCCAGCCCAGAATGAATCCAGAGTCTCTGCATTGCTCTAGGAATCAGAACTCTAACGTGTCAAATTACCTTTCAGCCTAAAAGATTACCAGAAGCTTAGGATCATCCCAACTAAACTATTCATTCCTAGGCCAGGTGAAATGGCTTATGCCTATAATCTCAGCACTTTGGGAGGCCTAGGCGGGTGAATCACTTGAGCCCAAGAGTTTGAGACAAGCCTAGGCAATATGGCAAAACCCCATCTCTACAAAAAAATACAAAAACTAGCCAGGTGCAAGCTTGTGGTCCCAGTTATGAGGGAGGCCGAGATAGGAGAATGACCTGAGCCCGGGAGCTCTAGGCTGCAGTGAGCCAAGATTGCACCACTGCACCCCAGCCTGGATAACAGATTGAGACACTGTCTCAAAAAGAAAAAAATGTTTAAGTAAAGAATGTGTTTTAATCATGTAATTCTGGAGGGAAAAAAAAAGTATCATGCTCTCTTAAATAAATGCCACAATTCTTTAGGAACAACGTATTTTTCCAGAAGAAATGTCTCTCTGAGTCGAGAGGTAAATGTGACTTCACAGTCTAATATATATACACTTTGAGAGTATAAAGCAAATGAATATATGAGATGAAGTTTAAAAGGAAATGCATTTAAAAATATGCCACCTGAAATTAACACTGGTTAGTTCCTTTGTTGATGGTTAATTAGTACTTACTAACTCAAGGCAGCTCTCAACAGAAAACTGAGAACTACTTAAACAAAGAATAATAAAATTTCAAGTAGTCTTACTTTTGTGTAGATATTCAATCAACTGGTATATCTGGGCAATGCCTTCCTCCGTCAGTGGGGACCCAAATATCACTCCTTTTTCTGAAAAACCATATGATATGACAGGGCTGTATTCCACACAAATAGTACAAAGTCATCATAGCTAAAACCACTCAAGCATCCTATTATTTCACAATTCAGCAAGTGTTTTCACATGGTCAGTAAACAAAAACCTTAGAAGTGGAAGTAAACTAGAAAAGACAATCAGGACAACTCTCAATCAGCTTTCTCAAGTTCAATATTAGGCTATAGGTTCCTTGAGCGCAAAGGTCACCTTCTTGTTTGTAAGAAGCACATACCTACTAAGTAAGAAGGAGATATCTAGCATGTTAGTATTTAATTTAACAACAAACAGAAGGCCAGACATTGTGGCTCACACCTGTAATCCCAGTGTTTTGGGAGGCTGAGGTGGGAGGACTGCTTGAGGCCAGGAGTTTGAGACCAGCCTGGGCAATATAGTGAGACCCCGTCTCTACAAAAAACAGAAAACAGTCAGGCATGGTGTCGTGCACCTGTAGTCCCGGCTACCGGGAGGCTGAGACAGAAGGGTAGTTTGAGCCCAGGAATTTGAGGCTACAGTGAGCTGTAATGACACCACTGTACTCCAGCCTCAGCAACAGCGTGAGATCCCATCCCCTAAAAAAAGAAAAAAAGAAACAAAGGAAAAAAATTCAAGCTTTCTTTACTATAGCCTCTAGCTATGTAATTTTGATTTTTTAAAGATTATTTTCACATATTAATAGGGCATGAAAATCAAGACACCCCTGATAACTACCTAAGTTAATCATGTCATCTCTCAGAGACTGAATATATTTGCTTTAGTTTAATTATTTATTTATCTAGACAGTTTTTATAATTTGTATTACTATTACTTAAGGTGTTACTACTTATGAAAAATTTTTTAAATGGCCCAAAAATGCTTTAACAGCAACTCTTTAGTGAATGTGCAGATGTTGAGAGAGAAGCCCAGGGCGCAGCTGAGGCCTACCCACCCTTCACAGACACATCTCCTACCCTTGCGCTTGAGAGACATGAGAGACCGGAAGAATCCTGACGCTGGGCCAGCCCCGCCAGGCAACTTAAGGTCCACTTCCCCCATCAGCTGAGCCAACTCCGTTCCAGGCAAATCAATGAGCCTTGTGATATTGCTGACCACCAACTCGGTGAACACCTCAGGTTTCTCATGTCGGAGCTTCTCCACAAAAAAGTCAGGATTAAAGATAATGGGCTGACCTCGAAGGGAAGAGTCATTGCAGATCACAAAACTGCAGATGGCATCACTGAAAAAAAAAACAGAAGAAAATCTCTCAGGACATATTTTTGTATGTTTTATATGCACTACTCGTTGGGTTCTTTGGTCCTGACTCCACGCAAAGGCAGAGGTTTCCTTACAGTCAGCTTCCTTTAATTGAGCCAGCTGCCCTTGAACTCTGTTCCTTACAACCACAAAGCCTCACAGAAAGGAAAGCACAAGTACATAAAACAGATATTAATTCAGCTTTTCCCATGTCCACTAATAGGTTTTATTTTAAAATACTCCAATTCCGGATGCCTCTGACCCATCCATTATAATCTAAGTCCAACCTCTGCTCAGACAGTTCTCTCTAGGGCTCCTGATCTTAGCTGGTTCTCCACTCCTACATTACATTGGGCTATATGCTTGGCAAAGCTCCTTTGGATCTCAGAAATATTTTCTTCCCTGTTCTTTGTTTCCCAATGCCTACTATACCCTTGTATTAGTCCATTTTCATACTGCTAGGAAGAAATGCCCAAGACTGAGTAATTTATAAAGAAAAAGAACTTTAATGGACTCACGGTTCCACATGACTGGGAGGCCTCACAATTTTGGCAGAAGGTAAAGAAGGAACAAAGGTACATCTTACATGGCAGCAGGCAAGAGAGTGTGTGTGAGGTAACTGCCCTTTATAAAACCATCAGATCTCGTGAGACTTATTCATGGTGGGGAAAACCCACCCCATGATTCAATTACCTCCCACCAGCTTCCTCTAATGACACATGGGGATTATGGGAGCTATAGTTCAAAATGAGATTTGGGTGGGGACACAGCCAAACCACATCATTCTGCCCCGGCCCCTCCCAAATCTCGTGTTCTCACATTTCTTTTTTTTTTTTTTTTTTTTTTGAGACGGAGTTTCACTCTTGTTACCCAGGCTGGAGTGCAGTGGCGCGATCTTGGCTCACCGCAACCTCCGCTTCCTGGGTTCAGGCAATTCTCCTGCCTCAGCCTCCTGAGTAGCTGGGATTACAGGCACACGCCACCATGCCCAGCTAATTTTTTGTATTTTTAGTAGAGATGGGGTTTCACCATGTTGACCAGGATGGTCTCGATCTCTTGACCTCGTGATCCACCCGCCTCGGCCTCCCAAAGTGCTGGGATTACAGGCTTGAGCCACCGCGCCCGGCTTCACATTTCTTTTTCTTTTTTTTTTTTGAGACAGAGTCTCACTCTGTCACCCAGGCTAGAGTGCAATGGTGCAATCTTGGCTCACTGCAATCTCTGCCTCCTGGGTTCAAGCAATTCTCCCTGCCTCAGCCTCCTGAGTACCTGGGATTACAGGTGCCCATCACCACACCCGGCTAATTTTTGTATTTTTAGTACAGACAGGGTTTTTCCATGTTGGCCAGGCTGGTCTTGAACACCTGACCTCAGGTGATCTGCCTGCCTCGGCCTCCCAAAGTGCTGGGATTACAAGCATGAGCCACCATACCCAGCCAGTCCTCACATTTCAAAATCAATCATGCCTTCCCAACAGTCCTCCAAAGTCTTAACGCATTTCAGCATTAACTCGAAAGTTCACAGTCCAAAGTCTCATCTGAGACAAGGCAAGTCCCTTCTGCCTATGAACTTGTAAAATCAAAAGCAAGTTAGTTAATTCCTAGGTACAATGAGGGTACAAGCACTGGGTAAATAAACTCATTCTAAATGGGAGAAATTGGTCAAAACAAAGGGCTATAGGCCCCGTGCATGTCTGAAATCCAACAAGGCGTAATTAAATCTTACGGTTCTGAAATAATCTCCTTTGACTCCATGTCTCACATCTAGGTCATGCTGATGCAAGAGGTGGGTTCCCATGGTCTTGGACAGCTCTGCTCCTGCGGCTTTGCTAGATCCCTGTTCCTGGTTGCTTTCACAGGCTAGCATTGAGTGTCTGCGGCTTTTCCAGGTGCACAGTGCAAGCTGTCAGTGTATTCTGGGGTCTGGAGGATGGGAGCCCTCTTCTCACAGCTCCACTAGGCAATGCTCCAGTGGGGACTCTGTGTGGGGGCTCCCACCCCACATTTCCTTCTCCTGAACTGATCTATCAGAGGTTCTCCATAAGGACTTCGTCTCAGCAGCACACCTCTGCCTGTACATCGAGGCGTTTCCATACATACTCTCGAGTCTAGGCTGAGGTTCCCAAACCTCAATTCTTGACTTCTGTGCACCCACAGGCCCAACATCACATGTAAGCTGCCAAGGCTTGGGGCTTTCACCCTCTGATGCAATGGCCTGAGCTGTACACTGGCCCCTTTTAGCCATAGCTGGGACCCAGGGCACCAAGTCCAGAGACTGCAAAAAGCAGCAAGGCCCTGGGCCCAGCCCACAAAATCATTTTTCCTCCTAGGCTTCTAGGTCTATGATGGGAGGGGCTGCTACAAAGGTCCCCTGGAGATGTTTTCCCCATTGTCTTAGAAATTAGCATTTGGTTCCTCCTTACTTCTGCTGCCAGCTTGAATTTCTCTGCAAAAAATGGGTTTTTCTTTTCTACTGCATTGTCAGCCTGCAAATTTTTCAAACTTTTATGCTCTGCTTCCTCTTGAACACTTTGTTGCGAAGAAATTTCTTCCACCAGGCCAGGCGTGGTGGCTCACGCCTGTAATCCAAGCACCTTGGAGGCCAAGGCAGTGAATCACCTGAGGTCAGGAGTTCAAGACCAGCCTGACCAACATGGTGAAACCCCATCTTTAAAAAATATATCTAAAATAAATAAATAAATAAATAAAATTTTAAAAAAAGAAAAGAAATTTCTTCCACCAGATACCCTAAATCATCTCCCTAAAGTTCAAAGTTCCACAGATCTCTAGGGCTGGGGCAAAATGCCGCCAGTCTCTCTGCATAGCAAGAGTGATGATCTTTATTCCAGTTCCCAACAAGTTCCTCATCTCCATCTGAGACCATCTCAGTCTGGATTTCATTGTCCATATCGCTATCAGCATTTTGGTCAAAGCCATTCAACAAGTCTCGAGGAAGTTCCAAACTTTCCCACATTTCCCTGTCTTTTTCTGAGCCCTCTAAACTGTTCCAACCTCTGCCTGTTACTCAGTTCCAAAGTTGCTTCTACACTTTCGGGTATCCTTACAGCAGTACCCAACTCTTCCGGTACCAGTTTACTGTATTATTCTGTTCTCATGCTGCTGATAAAGACATACTCGCAACTTGGTAATTTATAAAGGAAAGAGGGGTTTAATGGACTCACAGTTCCACATGGCTGGGGAGGCCTCACAATCATGGTGGAAGGCAAAGGGGGAACAAAGGCACCTATTACATGGCAGTAGGCAAGAGACCATGTGCAGGGGAACCTCCCTTTATAAAACCATCAGATCTTGTGAGACTTACTCACTATCAAGAGAACAGCACAGGAAAAACCCGCCCCATGATTCAATTACCTCCCACAACACATGGGAATTATGGGAGCTAGAATTCAAGATGAGATTTGGGAGGGGACACAGCCAAACCATTTAAACCCCTTTTTACTTCTAATATGTTGTTATGTTTAAGAACTGTATAATTGAAACTACAGCAGACATATAGTTTGTATCTATTAACAATTAATTCTAATGGCTTGTTCTAATCCTTATTATATAAACAGTCATCTATTACATAACCAACAAATGGACATAACACAAGCTAGAAAGGACAAGTTATCATATCTCAGTTGGGCAGAATGGAAATGCACCTGACTCATACAAACATACCCACAATAAAAGCAATCACAACTTAAAAGTGGTCCATTATGCCCTAGGTACCAAAGCACTGTTCCAGGAAATATGACAGCACTTCTAAATATTAGATATAACTAATCTACAAAGGACATTGTCAATACTACATGGATAATTGTTAATAACAGTATAGTGAAAACAAGGCATGGGTAAACTTCAAAGTTCATCTCTATTTCCTTGAAAAATTATTGCATGATTTGATCAACAGCCCACATCTTCCGTTGGTGGCTAGGAGATTTTTTTTTTTCTCTGAAATGATAATGTATTATTAGAAATAACATATTAAGCTATTGTTGCTGCAATAAAAATAAAAAATAAAGAGAAATAACATAAAAGTTAAAAATCTACGAATGTGTGTCCTCAAGCTAAAAAGTCACTAAAAAGAAAAAATTTTAAATGCTTGTCTCCTCAACCTTTTTACATACTAGGTTATTTTTCCTGTTCAAATGCCAGTGATGATAAATAAAAGCCAGCTCGAATTAGAAGCAACTTCATCTTAAATCTTGACAAGAGCCTCTTTTTTTAATGTCAGCTTATTTCAATCAAGAAGCAAGAGTCGGGCCGGGCGTGGTGGCTCACGCTTGTAATCCAAGCACTTTGGAGGCCAAGGCAGGCAGATCACCTGAGGTTGGGAGTTCAAGACCAGCCTGACCAACATGGTGAAACCTTGTCTTCA